GGGGCCCGCGGGCCGTGGGAAGTGCCGAGCCCTTTCCCACGGGGCTGGGGGCAGCCCTGCGTGCAACAGGTGTGCACAGGTTGAGGAGCTTCTGCAGCAGGTTGCCGAACTGCAGGAGACAGTAAGAAGCTGAGGAATATTAGGGAGACAGAAAAGGAGATAGGAAATTGGCTCCAGACACACCAAGAGACAAACCCACAGCCTAAGCCCCAGAGACAAAAACTCCCCCCACTAGCAAACATGGAGAGGAGGGAAGTGAATAAAGTGGAAAAAGAGAGACGGAGGGATGGAAGACTGGTAAGTCAAAAATCCAAAGGAAGAAGAGACTTCCCTACAAACACCTAAAGTGCCCTTGCAGAACCATCTTACATTTCTGCAGACTGAAGGGGGAAAACAACTCATGAAGTTAAGCTGCCAGAGCCAAGGCAGCTCACTCAGAGGATCCTGTAGCAAGAGTGCTCAGAAGAAGCAGCAACAAGTCATAGCTGGGGGACTCTCCCTTCCCAGGGGTACGGAGGGACCCATTTGCAGATTGGACCTGCTTACTAGAGATGCCTGCTGCAGCTTAGCAGGGGCTTGAATGAAGGACAGAGCAGAAATATTACATCCACTTGTGCTGCCCACCAACTATTATCTGCTCCTACTGTTTCACGTGGGCACCACTTACACAGCCAGGAGTAGCCTGAAGATTATCAGGAAAGACTACAGGGTGCTGGGAGCGGCGGTGAAGGGCTTGGGAGCACAGGTAGTGCTCTCTTCAATCCTTCCAGTCAAAGAGAAAGGGCTGGAAAGGGCCAACCAAACTGGAAAAGTCAACAAATGGTTACAGGAGTGGTGCCATAGTCAGGGCTTTGGTCACATAGACCACAAGACTCACTCTGAGAAACCTGGTTTCCTGAGGGCTGATGGGGTTCACCTGTCTGAGTTGATCTACAAGCAATTCATTTTAGTTCTGCTGAATGGAGCATCCTGGCATTTCTAACTCTTATGTTTTCCTCATTCTTTAGGTTAACAAATCAGAAAGAATAAATGATTCTGCTACTCAATAATAAGCTGTGTTGGCTTAACAACTATGTACACCAAGAACTAAGAAACAGATGTAGTAACTAAAATTCTCAAGTAAAGACAGCAGGCTCTTGATCTGCATCAAGAAAATCAAGAGTTAAGTTGGTAATATACCCAACAACCTTTCTCCAAACACTTCAATCCTCCTGCCTATGTAGCACTGCTTTCTAAATCAACATGTAAACTAGCAATCCAGAACAATATATTCTCAAGACCAAGGACATTATATGCACATGCTACAGAAAAAAAAAAAAAAAAGCCAGCACTTTCTGCATGACACAGATTTCTCAAACTGAAAAGAATCCAGTATGAAAAAGATGGTAACACAAAGGAAGATATTCCTTATCAGCCCACTTTGCTACAGCTAAAACACACGATTTCAGTAGTGTCAGTTTTTGTCAACATTAAAGGACAGAGTAACTTTAAAAAGGTATCTGAAAATTAAGTTAACAGCAGTTTTGGTGGACACAGAAACTAACAAAAGAAATAGATTCCCATAGTTCTAGGAAATCAAGATGTGATAAGGGAAGTTAATACTCCAAATTAATAAAACCACGGATTTTGCACTGGACTAAAAACAGATAGAAAACAACCAGCCACTAGACCTTCAGCTAAAACCAGCCTTTCTCTCAAATAATTAATATACAGCTGTTTAGGACCTTCAAGGAATACTATACCAGGGCAAAACAGAACCAGCCAAAGAGACAGTTTAGGATTATTACTCAATTTTTTAAAAGCTTTTAAAAATCATTAAACATTTTAATTACAGGTTAATATTGTATTTTCCTTCTTTTATCTATCAATTATCAAAGATTAAAGTAGCAGTTGTAAAATCTCAATGTGTTTGGAAATACAAATGCAGAGGGAACACTTAAAATTCTTACCTTTTGAAGAGAGGCTTCCACGGATTTCATATGACTAATAATCAATTCTTTGTCTCTATTACAAGATATAAAAACAAAACAGAGAGGTTAATAGAACTGAAGCTCACGTAGAAATTAGTTTTCTGCTACTTCATAGCCTTTGTGTATTTAGAAATATTTTTGGATAACTCAAACTGTTACAATTGTAACTCTCCTTTTTTATCTCCAATACAAACCCCAAAAACCAGTTCATGGACCACTATTTGGCACATTTCCACATGAAAGATGTTTCTGTTGTGGATAAGCAATTAAACTAGCTGTATTTATATGCGTATGAATGAACAATTATCATGTTCTTGGAGAAGAAATCTGCAGTCTTGGATAAGAAAGACATGTTGAATTAAGCCTACACTCTAGCAGGAAGAGATTATAATCTTATACTGGAAAACACTGACAAATCTGTGTCTTTCATCAATTATATGGGCCTTACAACTGTATACTTCTAGGCATAGAAGTCTTCCTGTCCTCTCTAAATCTGAACATTCCACTCACTGGTCCTTTTCCAAAAGAACTCCAAGTCAAAAATCCTATCCTTATCAAAGTCTGGAGAAGGAAATACTGCTTACACCATTTTGTAAGACTGGGGCTTCAGTGAGAAAGACAGCTTTGATCAACTATGCTGCCACCAAAAACCTTGGTCTCATCTGATGCACTAAGAGAAATTGAATCAAAGTTGCATAATACCATATGACTAAGGAGAACAGGACAGCATCACCAATAGAACACTGCAGGAAATAAAATGGAATTTATACCAGAAAAGCTGATACACCTTAATATTCCAGGACCATCTCTTATCTTGACAGCTATGTGAATAGCTCATTTGAGCTCTTACAGCTCCTAAAACAGAACTAAAAATCAGGGCATTCCTCTGCCTGGAAAGCCCACTGCCTCCTCATTTCTTGATTCATATCATCCTAACAGCATATACAGCAAGGTGGCCAGAAAAGCAGGATTGGCTTTTACAGTCTTAGTAAAGTTGTCACACAGGTTCTCTTTTCAGGATCCTGCCTTTCTTTGGATTACACTGACAGGGACATGCTTTTCACCCTCTCTGCTGGCCTCATTTATGTAGTGACTACTGTTTGTATGCATGAAGTATGTATGCTCTAGAGAGCAAGTTCAAAGCTGTTCATTTCTAAATTCGTTACTGACATACAAGTCAGTCTGTTCCTCACATATTTTCAGGTGTTAATCATAAAAAGGAAAGTATCTTTAGATGGAATTTTGGACCCAGGTTAACAGGTGGTCCCCAGGTTCTTATTTTTGTGAACAGAAAGCCCTCTGACTACAGTTGATTTATTATCTTTAAAAGCATATTAAAATAAAAATATGGTAATATTTGTTTATAGCACCTAGAAAAAAGGTTAAAGATTTAACCTATTACACCCCTAAAAGTCAGGATCCACATTTCATTCAGTCTTTATTTCATATATTCATCAATAAGGTAAGGGAAATTGTTGTTGGATTATAGAACTATACTTCAGGATTATTATCCAGAAATGTAGTTCAGACATGAGGAACATGGTGTACGTGACCTTTTACACAATAGCTGGGGTGTAGGCTTGACAGAGATTTTCTATCTAGCAGAGAAATGACCAAAAGGCTACTAAATTCCAGTCAAGTTCACTGCTATCAGACAATTTTTATTAGTATCGCTTCATACAGTGGAGGAAAGTGGAACAGAACTAGTGGTCACCACTGTAAGAAAGTAAAAATGGCCATTTTCAGAGTGAGCCAGCCATCTTGCTATCCTTTAAAGCTGTACAAAAGATTAGGAAAGAACTTTGAAAGACACCCATACATTGTTTACATTGCTCACTCAGGTTTTGGAATAGCTGAATGAGCTATTTTTGGAATAAGATTTTCTGGACAGAGTAAAGTCTGTTTCACCTACTAATATGTTCCAAAGGGTAAGGCATTTACGGTGAAGAGCTGGTAGAAGAACAAATGGTATGGGTTGTTTCTTTGTCAATATTCAACTGCTATATACATAAATAAAATCAATCTTAAAACCACTTCATGTTAAAGAAAACAAAACCCTTTTCTGAATATAAGAAGGGAATGATCTGTACTAGAATACATAAAAATAGGTTGGGACAGGGTGAGAAGGGGCAAGCTTTCCAGAACAAATCCTTCTTCAGGTCACATCTGCTTTAATACACTCATTCGAAATAACATTTGTCATTTTAATTAGCTTTATAAACATTTCACTGATAACTAGATTAATTCCATTATTTAACTTGTGCATAAAACCCTTAGAGTTTCTAACCTATTGCTCTTCAGAGGTCAAATGTATTTCTGGTATAATGAGAAATTTTAATTTTAAATTAAACTTTTTAAAAATCTTAGCCATGGACCAACCATATTTAAAGTCCATACTACAAAAAGAGTATTAGATAACAGAGTCTTATCTTTCTATCTGTATGACTATAAGAGATTAATAATAATCTCATTCAAGTCAATGGAACACCTTTTGACTACCACTCTTTTCAAGATTGGTCCCTGAACATTTTCTTCGACGCCCAAGGTTATGGTATAAAAAGGCATGGGTTTTATGTTTAAATCCAAAACTCTCTGAAAATCAGCTGAAAGTTGTACCTTGTTCCACAGATAAGATAAGGTACAAAATGGGCTTTCAGCCCATTTGGAAACTTAACACCTGTCACCTAGCTGACATTTCTGTATTTACTATAAATAAATTGGATCTCTCTACAAAAAGATTATGTGGAAATAGAGAAAACAAACAATCATTTATTAAATAGTGTTACAGATCTGCCAAAGAGATGTTATCAAATTAGTAAGATAATGGGCAAACAGAAATGTCCATGCTATTTCAGGACCCTGAATTTGGAGAACTATTATGGGATAGCTACAGAACACAAGCCATCTAGCATCTTGAACTAACAGTTTTCTTTTTAGAAGACTATCACTGAATTTTAAAGAGACACAGATGTACTTTTGTTTCCTAGCATTACATTAGGCAGGGCTAAAGCCCTGCGCATGAAAGTAGGAATTGATCTTTTGTCCTTTTCAAGTGATCTCCCCAAGGTCCCAGTGCTCACTTCACTGCCATGCAGAGGGCACTCTCTGCATCACGGATGTTCTCTTTCAGTCGACGCTTGTCCTGCTCCAGCTGGGTAAGAAGTCTATTGAGCTGACGCAGAGATTGATCTTTCCTTCTCAGCTCCATCTTTGTCTCAGAGAGTCTCTGCAAGCAGACAGAAGGCAGAGTTACTTGTCAGCCCAAATAATTAACTTCAATTTATGCCATAGGCTATTAAACAAAGTGGAAAACAGACTGACTGTGAAGTAGATTTGGACCGTTACATACTGCAGTTTTATTAATTCTCTAACAAAAAACATACTAACTCAGAACCCCCAGTTTTTAGCAATATTGCCTATGTAGAAATATTTTTCATAAAAAAATAAAGTAATTTATTGATCCAACAGGTACATATACTATGCTACAGGTGCTATACTTCCCAATACCGTATCTAAGCAAAGTGGAAATAGTTAAAAGAACCGTGTTAGAGAGAACAGAATATTCTAAAAACTTTAAATTAACATTAAAGAAAAGAATTCACAATGAAAGAAAGGGAATAAACAAAGTAGCATTTATTTAAATATTCTACACTATGCAGAAATTGCAGAATTAAAAAAAATAATCTAACATTCTAAGTGAATCAAGTACATATTTTGCTGCAATTTTTGCTAAGAATAAATCACTATTTTATGGTGTTTTCACTGATTTAACATTAGTTTTGCAGTAAGCAAAATTGCACTTGTATTTTTTAATGTTTCTTTCCAACTTAAAATTGACACAACATGCTTTAAATCAATTCAGATTAACCCAACAGACGACAAACAGCACACAGAACTAATTAATACAGAACCTGGCTAGCTGCTGCTCATTTCTGCTGGGATAAATCAATACTTACACAGACTTGAGTATTAATAAAGTGATTTCAGAGTTTGCTAAACATTACATTTTACTTATAGCTGTTAATTGCCTTTTTTGAATGAAATTATAATAGCTGGCTCTAAACATTCTTTTACAAAATATAAAGTCCCTAACATATTCTAAACTAATATAGAAGGATAGAGAAGACTGCACAGCTTCAAGACTGAGCTCTTACACCTTGTTTTCAAAATTTGTAAATGTTTTCTGCTTATGTTCTAAAAATTCTATGCATAATTCATACTCAGAAGAACTTGACGTGGACTGTGGAACATGGAGAATAGGTATCATGCTGAAGATATGTATTAAGAACAGTATATACAAAAGGCTGATAAAAATTTGGAGGGCACTGAAAACTCAACTGATCTGAAAAAGTGTCAGATCTAGCCAAGACTCAAGGCATTTCAAAAACAAACATGCCAAGAAAATTTCTATAAAATAACAAAGTAGAGTATAAAACTGCATAATCCTCCAAAATAAACTGAAATCTGTAGATCGGTGTAAGTTTTCTTCAAATGTTTCTGAAGACAAAAATGCAACCTGTTATTTCAGTAGTGTATTTGGAAGCTAGAGCACCACTACCTGAACTCTCTATTCAGCAGTTTACTAACTCCAGCCTGTGTTTAATCACTTCTGTAGGAGAAAAAAAAACAGCAAACAAACAAAACAAAACCACACCCAAACATCAGGATTTTATTTAAGAAACTCTGAATTCCAGAAATGTTAATACTAGTCTTGCTCACATTACTGCAAATTGAATAACTATTCTGCCTTGTATGCACTTACTTTTTATGAAGAATGCTATTCTTCACATACAAAAAGATAAACACACAGATCTTTCTTCCACTGCGTTATTAGCATAAAGATATCTAAACTTAGATGTGTTGCTTTCAGAAATTCTACCCTAATGCCACTAGCAGCTATTAAAGCCCTGTCTGAACTGCTCAATTTGTGATTTGTCAGATTTTCATAAAAGTTATTCCACAAAACCAGATGTGGGTTAGCAAGGATAAAAGCAGACATCTTTAATGTAGAAGCAAATAACATTATCTTCTTCCATTTATTGTGTTTACTGTTGGTTTGTTTTAGGCTCAGTCAACACCGAACAAACAGCTCTGAAAACTGAGTAAAGTCCCATCTTCCTATATTCCCATCTTTGACAAAATTTATCGAACAGAGAGCAATTTCTCTGGAGGCAATGCTCTGTTCACACCACTCTCCCATCTGAATTAAGATGTAGGAGAGATAATTCTGTTGATATTTTTATGTAAGCAATTTATCACGTAGAGGCCGCTTGAACAGAATCTGACTCCAAGATTCTAGTGGTCTAAATGAGTGAATACAGGGTACTAGGAACATTATACATATTTATTCCATTTTTATTAGACAGCTATCCTTCTACAGCGGCTGAAGAGTTGTCTGATCCCACATAAAGCTTTCATCACTGACAAAAAATGCTGAAGAGACCCACTAGGTGTCAAAATCTTCTGGTAGCTAATTAATCTTGCTTACCAATTGAAAGTGCAGGCTATGAATGAGGCAATTTCAGGATTGAAAACATGAAGCCTAACACTTCAACAGGCATGGCCAGCAATCCACACTAGCTGGTGATGAAGCAATACAGAAATTATTAAATCAAATATCTCACTGACCAACTGCTTTATTATATTGAAAATTTTCACCATTATTTCCAAAAATCTCCTACTTTACCTATCAATAATATTGTATTATCTAAGTAAAATGTAAACTGATTTTAGCTCTCTAAAAGCAGTTCCAGCATTCACTTGAAGCTCTTTGCTATTGCAGGTTAAAGTCAAGCCTTGGAAACGGCTCAAATGCAGTATGGAGTATTCTAAAATAATGGCTGCTCAGCCTCTCTTTTTTTTCCTTCTTCAGATTGATCTAATTAAAACCCTTGATAAACTTTATGGACTCTAATATTTCCAGCTGAGTGACTGAAACCAAGAGGGTGTGCCTGAAGGCAGCAAGGCAACAATGATAAGCAGCAGGTTAGCCACTAATTTCTCAGCCAGGGTAGATTGTGAAAGTGTGATGTTCTGATATCCAAGAAAGTGTTCAGGAGAGAATAGGATAAATCAAGTTTAATAACTCTGCTCCTAATTGTTCCCTCAATGCTCCACTCTAATTACTTGGAGAACTCTCCTGACTGTCACCTGATATTAAGTTGTTGGAGGCTGAGTGTGGAGCAGTGAGATAATCAATAAACATTTAGTGGGGAGAAGAATGAAGATCCCGTTAAGCAGTGGGAACCTGCAGCACCCAAAGCCCTTCTGCTCATGAGAAAACCTATGGGAGAGCCATAGTGATTGCAAAGCAATAATCCAAAGCACTGTTTTTAGGCCTTGAGGCCTTTAGGCAACAGTACATTTGAGGAAAAAAGGTTAACACGGTCACCCTAATTACAGCCCATTTTCACATTCTTCATATATAAGCGAAGACAAGCCAATTAGGTAGAAAGGAAGATAAGGGAAGTTTTATTTGTATACTAATTAAACCCCTGATGAAATTAAAGGAAAAACATACAGCTCTGTAATTGTGTCTGAGAAAGGTCACTTCAGGTTCAGTTATCAGAAAAGCGCAGCCTTGAGATATTTCACTTAATCCACAATATAGCACTTATTTTGCCCCCCACGTCTCAGTATTTACAAAAATAAGAAAATTTCGAAACCTGATAATGCATTTATCTTGAAATGTTTTCTGTAGACAATTACAATTGTTAGAAAGTTGAGGCTAAATATGATAAGAAGAATGAAGGTTTTAAAAACCTACTATGTCTGCACATAGTTCTGTGAAGATGCTGAGCTTTCACTTTCAAGCACAAGAGATCCTGAACTAGCTTAGAAGCCAAACTCCAATTCATCAACATTCTGTAAAATGTCAGTTATTTGTTTAGTTCTGACGTTTAGGCATTCAGGTGCCAAGTCAGACATCGCTGTACTCCTTCCACCAAAATCTTATAAATCAGTTGAGTTTTTATCAGAATCCTTAGAAGGAGTTCCCTTTAGAGATATTTTAGATTTAGGCTTTTTTCAATGCCATATACTGAGCATGAAAAATCACTTGTTGGAGGCAACAGCAAGTAACTGATAGCACTGAATATAAATCTCATTGGATGTCTGTTGGCTGGGTCCTTCCACAAATAATTTTAACAAGCTTACAATTGCAGGAATCTCCTCCTTAAAAACCAGTTACAAAAATAAATAAATGTTAACATTTTCATTCTTTACACACACTAAAAATAAGTCTGTTCAAAAGGTAACAGATGAACAATCACCTATGACAGTCATACAATTTTAATGAATGCAAAGCATGTGTGACACGTACGTACTGAGAGCATATTTTCCAAGATATAGTAAAGCTAGACCAAACTACTGAAGAAATTAGATTTAAATTAAGCAGACACAACACAGCACTACCAAATAAGCAAATATACTGCAGCATGTGTATTATTACCTAATTTCTGAAAGTAAAGGGTTTGTGCTCAGGAAGAAGTTTTATGTATGTGTTTTCTATTCAGATGCAAAATATTAAATTTTAACTCAAAATTCCTACATATTGTCCTACACAGGCAACTAATACAATTCCACAATGAAAATGAGAATGCAGAGTTTAGCCAGCATCCATTCCTCCACCAGCTGATACACAGTTCCCATTATCCCATTGGCAAATATAATCATAGAAGGGTTTGAGTTGGAAGGGACCTTAAAGATCATCAGGTTCCAACCTCCCTGTATATGCAGGGACACATCCCATTAGATCAGGCTGCTCAGAGCCCCATCCAACCTGGCCTTGAACACTTCCAGGGATGGGCCTTCCAGAACTTCCCTGGACAACCTGTTCCAATGTCTTATGACCCTCACACTAAAGAATTTCTTCACAATCTGAATCCCCCCATCTTACAGTTTTCATCCATTAGCCCTTGTCCTCTCACTACACACTCTTGTAAAAAGTCCCTCCCCAGCTTTCTTGTAGGCCCCTTCAGGTAATGGAAGGCTGCTATAAGGTCCCCCCAGTGCCTTCTCTTCTCCAGGCTGGAAGCTCCAACTCTCCAAGCCTGTCCTCATAGCAGAGGTGCTCCAGGTGCTCTGATCATCTTTCTGGCCCTCCTCTGGACTTTCTCCAGGAGCTCCATGTCCTTCTTAGATTGGGGGCTCCAGAATTGGACACAATACTCCAAGTGGGATCTGAGAAGAGCTGAGTAAAGGGAGAGAGTCACCTCCCTAAACCCA